ACAAATAATACATTATATGTTAATAATAAAAAATAAATAAATAAAAATTTTTAAAAAAGAGATGTGTTGTTGAAGATTATCTATAAAATTTCATTGTATATCCTGAAATTTATTAGGAAAAAAACGTGGGAGTGAGTTTAAACCTGATGATTACTAGAGCAGTGTGTGTTTAAGCAGTTTACCACTTAACTTTCTGGCCAAATATACATTAACAGTTGCTTTTCACTGATGTACTGACTGTCTTTCCTGGTAGGTGTTTTAGTAGCATTAAGCTCTTAATGATTTTTCTAAGGTAGTTTCCGCGTGACGCATTTTTACAAGATAAAAAATAAAATCCCAAGTGCTTTTACTCTGTGTTGAAATCATATTACTCGGTGGGAGTTACATCAACTCAGTATAGATTCTTTGATTTTTTTTTAACATAATAATGAGAACTTCGTTAGGCAATTTCGGTATGTGTGTTTTTAACTAATAAAAGTGGGAAAATTCTCCGTCATTTACTTGATGGACTCACTCTTGCAAAACATGAGATCCTTGAGAAAATGATTGGCAAATGTCTTTGGTCGTACAAAGACAAAGAACTAAAACTTTAGGCAAAGGAAACGTCCCGGGCATCTAAGACCAGACCTCTGAAAAGTCACTAACTTACGGTGTTATAACAAGCAAAGAGATTTCGGAGGAGCTCTGTGAGGCCAGCTGGCTCAGTCCGTACCTGTGAAGGCCAGCAGTCCAATTCGGTGCGCAGCTTGAGCCCTCTTCTCAACAGCTAAAGATTCATCCTTCAATAAATGGCCAAGCACCACGATTTTTTCTTTGTGAAAAATACTCTCAGCGGAAGGGACATCTCCTTCCTCCTCCTTCTTCACGAAAAAGGGCTTGACAGTGACATTCCAGAACTTCTGCACACGCCAACACAGCCCCCAAAAATAGCGGTAAATCCGCGTCCAACACTGCACATAATAAACACGGGTCTTAGCCATCGCGTGGAAAGAGCCAGTGGTGGTTCAGCAGCCGAAGTTCATAGTCAAGAACTCTGGAATGCATCACTTAGCAACCCTGGAGAACGGAATACACCAGTCAGGGGGAAGCAGGGATGCCTTGATTCTTCAGGCCGGCATCGAAGGCCGTCTGCGATTTCAGCTACACCAAGTTTCCTTTCACTTCTCTGGGTGCGTAGCATCTCGGCTTGGACCAAACCGGTTCCCCCTCACGCACATGAGGCGCATTCCTGCCTTTGCACCTTTGCTTGGGCAGCGCCTGCTAGCAGTTTGCCTGTTTTACTTTGCTTATTCCGACACGTACTGAACCTCCTTCCGTAGGATTATCCCTGTTCTGCTTGTTTGTCACGTAATCAGACTTTTTCTCCACATCACTGATGTCCTGTATTGATCCTGTCTCGCTGAGAAAATAGAAGCAGGCTGAAGGGCACTTGCACAGTTGTCTTCACTGTGCCCACCTAGCTGCATCGTGCACACGGACCCCTGCTGTCCGGTTATGGACGCCCTCTCCATTCATGCAGCATATTTCAGCCACCCCTCGCCCCACTCAGGGAGATGGCTCTACAGCTCTTCTCTTGCCTTAACTAATTTTTCCATCGCGACTGGATCGTTTGCATCATCAACAAGCATGCTGTACTTTTTCTCAGTAAAAAAGTAAAACACTTTCTTGACCTCATATAACCCCTCCACCGAGTTACTGCTCTGCGCCCCTTCATACAACAACTCTTCAAAGAGTGGCCATACTTACCGTTTCAAGTATTCTTCCATCCTCTCTTGGATGTACTCCAAAGAGAGATTTCCAACCCACGAATCTACTGGGATTGCTCGTCAGCGTCACTGATGACCTTCATTCTGCTGAATCCAATTCTCGGTCTTCAGCATTTGACACTTTCTCCTTGAAACGCCTTTTTTGCCTAACTTCTAAGCTGTCGTACCCAATTGTTCTTCTGCTTACCACCCTCCATTTCCCTTTGCTGGTTCCACCTCTTTATGACCTGTAAATAGTGGAGTGTCCCAAGCCTCAGGCCTCATAGGCTCTTCTTTGTTTTGATCTATACTTCCTGGATAAACCAGTCTCCCGGCTTTCAGTGCCATCCATAGGCTGAAGACTCCCAATTTTACATATATATATTTCAAACATTTTATTTTTAAATATGTCTACTCTCAATGTGGGGCTCAAACTCACGACCCTGAGATCAAGAGTCACATGCTCCAACCAACTGAGCCAGCCAGGTGCACCCCCCTCCCCCAATTTTATTTTTAACTGGATTTCTCACCTGAACTCCAAACATATTCAGTCGTCAACTTGATAGCCATCCAGCTGGCTGTCTAAGAGGCTTCTCAAATATAACATGTCCAAGTCAGAATTCCTGGTCTTCCTAAGCCTGCAGCAGCTCCCTTTCTCTGTCTTGGAAGATGGCACCCCATCCTTGCACCTGTTCGGGTTGAAAGTTTTGGATTCATCCTTGGCTTTTATCTGTCTCACATTTCACTTCCAACTTATCAACAAGGCTCTGCTTGCAAAGTAGAAATTTGGACCTCCCCGTCCAGATTTGGGATCTTCTACAAAGTGTACACGCCTGGACTCTTCAAATACATCAAGGTATGCAAGCTTGAGAGGAAAGGGGGTGCGGGGCTACTGTTGTAGATTAAAAGAGCCTGAAGAGACATGACAAACATGTAACCCACCGTTGGAGCCCTGGATCCACACCTGTGTGCATGCACGTACGTGAGCACGTGTGCAGATGCAGTAAAGGGCAGGAATGCGACAGCGTGGGAAACAGAGACATGCATTGTCCAGCACGGTGGCCACAGGGGCTTTGGAGCACGTGAAGTGTGACGAGTCTGAACTGATATGGGCTGTAAACGTAAACTACATACTGGATTTTGACGACTTAGTATGAAAAAAATGCAAAATATCATACTGCTAATTTTTGTTATTGATTACAAGTTGAAATATTTTGGATATGTTAGGCTAAATAAAAGATATATTACTAAAGTTAACGTCCCCTATTCTCTGTACTTTTTAAAACGTGGCTACTAGAAAATCTAAAACCCCAAGCATGGCTCCTCTTCAAGGCTTTTGTGCTTATTGTTACCTCTGCTTGGAATGTTCTTCCCGGAGATATCCACATGGTTCACCCCATCAGTTCCACACGTGCAATTTTCTGTCAGACCTTCCTGGACCACTCTCTTCTACCCCGTGACCTTTGCCCTGTCACTTGTCCCATCCCCAGCCTTGTACAATTATGACTGCCTTCCAGATCTTGTTTTCTCCCCTTGCCAGCATATGAGGGCAAAGATTTTTATGCCTTTTGTGTTTTCTTCACTGATGATCTGCAGTGCAAAAAACAGTCATATTCTTTGAGCGTACACCTCATTCACAGTAAGTATGCAAAAAAAATTACTTGTTGCATAAATGAGAAATTAGAGATCTAGTTTTTAGCAAACACAAAGTATACTTAGAAATTTCTCAAAATCAAGGTAGCATTTATTTAATAAGAGATATTGTCTCTGGGAAAATTTCAGGGATAAAATTCTTTATTTTTCTATTTGACTAATTTGCTTTTCGGATACAGTGAGAAGTGCTGGTGTTGTCTGCTGAATGGGGGTTTACAATTTTACTTTATAATTTTGTGAAGTAAGGAAGGCAATTCAGTTAAACAGTATAGAAATGAACCTTATAGAAAAAAAAAAAAAATCTCTTCCTGCTGACTCAGCAAAAACAATCACTGGTATTTGATGTCAGTCGGTGAATACTTGCGCTCACAGCTGAATGCGAGGGGCCCGTCTGTGATGATGCTGGTGGGGTACGGGCTGGGGGCACACACAAATAAATGAAGGCTCTTTTCATCTTCAGGGGGCTCATGGTCTCTGCTCATAGATAACACGATTCTGAAACACAGCTCTTTTTGCTCCCATTAGCTTTACAATAAATCTGAGAGGGCAATATTATGATCCTCATTTACAAGTGAAGGAATTTCAAGATAATGATAAATTCAGGTTGAGAATGAGGTGCACCGTGTTGTAGAAATGCCAGGTGAAGGAGGGCATGGGAAAAACATAGAGCAGGCTCTGCACATGAGACTAATAATTCAAAAATAATTTTTATTTTAACTTACATGATTGAAAGAGTGATGGATACAAATGCCACAAAACTAAAAGCACCCCCTTCGAGCAAAAATAAAATGCAGAATTGAATACAAAAGATATGGAATTAATTACTCATGCAATATTCAAAAAATTAGAAAAAAACCCCAAACAAACCAAACAAAAAACTCTGTAACATTTGTGATTTGACTTTCTGTAAAAAGAATCATTTCAACCATTTAACATAGACTATAGACTATACATACTAACCATAGACTGTACAATGTACCTTTAAAATGAAGGATATATGCATATATATAATATTTATAAATATACAAATATATATACACATTATGACTTCACAGTTGAAAGAACTATTTGCCAGGAAGCCTGGCAAACAATTTTTACTTTTTTTTTTTAAATTTTTTATTTTAAGTAGGCTCCACGCCCAATGTGGGGCTCAGACTCATGACCCTGGGATCAAGAGTCACACGCTCTACCAACTGAGCCAGCCAGGCACCCCAACAATTTTTACTTTAAAATGGAATACGAGTTGTTCTTAAAGGTCTTGCTAAAATGTAAATATTTAAAAGACACCTAAATGATATTTTATACAAACACGTCCAGAATACAGTTGATATTCCACAGTTTAAATAACACTCACACATATTATTTTGAGATCTTGGCATATCCCATCATGTATACTCTTAAGAGGAAGAAAAGCTATTGAGTGGTCTTGTAGTTTATTTAGAGGACTTGCTACCCTGATAGGGAAGCAATAAAGGAAGCTGTTACTTTAACTATTTGGCCAAGAGATCCCACCCAGTGATGAATGATTTCTCTGGGGGCAGTGATGGTCCCTAGGGGCATTCTTCTCCTTCCTAATCTCATGGTAATTCCTGTAGAAGCAAGGACCACTTGGAATGTCCTTCTGCTCTCATCCCATTAAGAGTCCTCCAACTTCCAAGTACTTCTACTTCAAAGAGCATCACAGCTTTCTGAATCCATGACTTTTGGTTTTGATTTGTCATAGCAGCAAAATATCTCTATTGTAAAAGTATCATAAAAAAATGGCTCTTGTTTAAAAAAGCTTAAACTTTGAATGTGTTTTTTTAAGGAGTACAGGTATAAACTTAATAAGGTAGCTCTTAGTTATCCACCTGTCTTTTAACCATGGAAACATGCTTTTGGGACTTTCAGGATGGAGAAAAGAAACAAAAGAAGTAGTGGAGGCTTGAGGAAAATAAAATTAAAAGAAAAATTAAACTCTTACAATGTGTCGTTTTACCAAGTTCTGCAGGCAAATCTTTATTTGAAGAAATTCTTTTTTTGTGTGTGCTTTGCATTAAGGTGAAATTAGGTAGCTAACGGGGCCACTCAACCCTGAGAACACAACAGAGAAAAACTGCAAGGCGTAGGATAGGCATCAAAGCATCACGTGACTATTTTAGGCTTATAGAAGAACTTCCAAAAAAGTACAAAGATGGCTGTTTTAAAATTCCACACATATGCGATAAGATGGGCTCTTTAACTAAGTACTGTCAGACGCCATCGACAATAAAATCTACAGAGTACTACACAGCCCGATTCTACTGGCCAAAGGAAAAGTGGCTAGGTCCTGGAAAACTCGATTTTGAATTCTATCTATAACACGTTACATTTCCAGACAACCTCAACAGAGCGCTTCAAGTTGTAAGCATTCCCGCTCGACCCCAGCACCACCTTGATGAACAGGGCCATTTAGAAAGAGAGCTGTACGGGAGAGCACATTAAAATGCTGTAGCGACTTCCGTCCCATGGCGCCCTCCAACGTGAACACAGTGAGGAAACTTGTCCAGTTGTTCATATGCCAGCCGCCCATCTTCCCCTGCACACAGAACATCAAAAACCAACAGCAGTTGGAACGTGGCTTTCTCATTCATCCCTCAGGATAACAATACCAGTTGTTTGGGAATGGATCGCTGTGTAATTTCGCTGTTAACTTTACGTAGGGAAATCATCTTCCGATACTCTTAATTATGTTGTTTTCTAGGTAATGTTTAAATGACCAAGAACTTTTTTTATGTTTTTTTTTAAGATTTTATTTATTTGAGAGCGAGAGAGAGCATGGGTGGGGGGAGGGACAGAGGGAGAGGGAGAAGCAGGCTTCCTGCTGAGCAGGGAGCCTGATGTGAGACTCGATCCCAGGACCCTGGGATCATGACCCGAGCCGAAGATGGACGCTTAACCGACTCAGCCACCCAGGCGCCCTTTAAAAAAAAACAAACAAAAACTCCCAGTGCAGTTAACATACAGTGTTATATTAGTTTCTGGTGTACAGTATAGTGATTCAACCATTCTATACCTTACTCAGTGCTCATCACGATCAGTGTGCTCTTCATCCCCATCACCTCTTCCCTCCACCCCCACCCACCTCCCCTCTGGTAGCCAGCAGGGTGTTCTCTAGAGGTAAGAGTCTGCTTTATGGGTTTGTCTCTTTTGTCCTTCGTAGAACAAACAAGAACTTTTGAGGGAATGCCAGAGACTAAATGAATGTCAGGGTGTGAAACAGTAGAAGTTCTACGGGCATTTGATGGGGATAATTTCGCACGATAGATTTCTTCCTGAGAAGTCATATGGATTATATTTTAAGTGCGTTAGGGATTTCAGTATGGCTGATCCTTGACTTCAAAGCATTGAACTTCGACAGGACTTTTACTTTTTTACATTACATATTGGCATATCTAAACGGTCTTTTGTAAAAGTCAAACTTAGGCTGTCACACTTGAGCTAAAACATTACTCTTTGCCATGGACCCATGTGGTGATCTGTCTACCAGCCAGCAGCTAGGTCACTTCCATCAGTAGTCATCTCGAACAGCCAACACTGATTTGCAAATTATTTGAACACTCTGTACCGTTTTTCCTATCTAAAACAATGATTAGGAAATGGGAAAAAAATCATAGATAACTAGTGATAAGAAGCAGGCGTTCATGCATTTAATACAAGAAGGACAAAGATGGGAGTATGAGTTGTGCTCAATCACAAGTTCATTGTGAAGAAAAAAAAGATTCATGAAATGCTGGGACTACATTGATGTTAGTGGGTTTTTGAAAGGGAGTGTAATTATGGGTTTTATAATATATTGTAGTCCCTGAAAACAGAAGCCTCTCAATCAACCAAAAGTTTGTCTTTGCTTTTAGGGGGGGTACATTTAAGTTTTTCAGTAATACATCACATAGAAAAGTAGGGATTCGCCTGCATTTAAAAGAACATGGTGAACTTTTCTCTTGGCAAAGGCCACCAATTTTTAGAGATTTCTGTTGATTGTTTCTGCATGCCTTGACTTTTCTGAGGCAAATGTTATATTTTTTCACCTTTTTTATTACTTTGGAGTAGAACCCTTTATTTGAAACAAAATATTTACACAAATCCCTGATACATAAAACACTGAATATAGCATCTTTCCAGGTGATGACAGGGGGAGACAGAGACAGAGGGCCTGAGTTAGGCCCATTCCTACCTCGCCTACTTGCACATACCCTGGATACCTTGGCTAACTAACCCTATTTAAAAAAGAGCGAATACCTGGCCAGTTCCTAGTTTGCTCATGGATATATTGCAAATCAGAAGTGTTCAGTTCTTTCCCTAGAGTCCCCCAGAGTCTGTGGGGTGGGTCAGGATTCCATCCCAGTGCTTACAAGTTCTGGGAATCCATAGGTGAGTTATGCTTCCATGTACCGCTCCCTAAAATGGGACTATTTGCACTTTTCCCTCATGGAGTCCATGGGACGATTAAATGAGCTAACCCACGCAGATCCCTCAACCCAGTGCCCGGCACAGAGCAAATCCTCTATAGCTGTACCCCAACATTGCCACAGAGATACAACCAGGGCCGGTCTACGGGGCACCTCACCCTGACTAACAACGTCCAGTGGCCGATGACCTGTGTTGGCTCCTCCTCTGGTCTTTTAACAGCCCTGTGAAGCAGTCAGGGTGTTAGAGGAGAAGGGGCCTGCGCTCTGGGATGTCTGGCATGTGGTTCCAAACCGGACTGAGATCTAGCTGGAGCACAATGGAATGGCCATAGCTAATGGGGAAAACTGCTCTGCCCAACATGGCAGCCACCGGTCTCGTGTGGCTATGCAAGTTTAAATGCTCACTACTCAAAATTAAATAAAATTAAACTTTAGTTCCTCATTCACAGTAGCCATACGGAAATGCTCCCTAGCCACCTGTGAATACTGGGACAGCCCCGTTACCACAGGGGGATCCAGTGGATGCAATTACTGATTCAGCCATCTGTGTGAGACTGTATTTGTGTATTAGGGTCAAAGGCGATTCAGAGCATTGAGTTCAAACTTGTTTCATGGTAGAATCACCTGGAGGCTTTTAACACAGTGCCGAGGCCCAATGGAAAGAGCATCTTTGGAAGCAGAGCCCAGGCATGGGCACATCTTAAAGCTTTCTTGGTGATGCCGATGTGCGGCTGACATTGAGAACCACCAGCTGGTGATGTGAGGGGGCACAGGGATTGGGGGGAGCAGCGCAGGGGGAAAGCCAAGGTGAAGGGGCGCCTGGGGGGCTCGGTCGGTTGGGTGTCTGCCTTCGGCTCAGGTCATGATCCCGGGGTCCTGGGATCGAGTCCCGCATCGGGCTCCCTGCTCAGCAGGGGGTCTGCTTCTCCGTCTGCCCCTCTCCCTGCTCATGCTCTCTCTCTGTCAAATAAATAAATAAAATAAAATAAAAAGCCAAAGTGAAGCGCGGATAAGGATGCCTCCCGGAGATGCTGCTGGGGGTGCAGCTTAAGTGAAGTTTGGGGCGCCCCCAGCAGGGCTCACGGTCTTCAGCTTGCACTGGGTGAAGAGGCGTTGCTGGTTCTGCGTTCCTAACGTCCGGCTTACCTTCATTGTTATTTCGGGGCATGAAGGGATAAAGGAAGCTCGAACTAATAACACCCTGGGCACATTTTTAGGGAATTACATCTTTGTATGCCTAAAACAGCCATAAGGAATAACTGTTTTATCCTTTAAACAAACATACGCTGGCTTGGATTTCCGTGCAGTGGATGATATATTCAATAGCAGAAGGAAGTGTTATTACACCAGCAACTGTAAGAAAGGACGCCTACAATGGATGTGATCTTCACGGTGATTACAAATGCCATGAGAGTCTCCCTTACGTTATTAAGCTACTATAGTCAAGCCAGGGTGGCTTTTTTCCAACGAGTAGTATCAACCGGATAGAATTTGAGGACTTTCGGGAGTCTAGTTTTTACACATTGAGAGCAGGTGTAGCATTAAAATAGCAACTATCTGTTATGCAGGATTAAGAAAGCCTCTCTCCACCCTCCTCACTCCCCAGCAGGAATAAAGGTATGCAGCCTGGTGGGCACGAAGCTTTCTAAAGTGAAGTGAAGGGCAAGATGTATCTGGCTATTCCAGAATAAAAGAAACACTTCATTTCTTTTCTCTGGTGTCAGGGCTCAGGTGGGCATTGGCCCACGGGGCAACCAGGGGTTCATCGGAGAGCCAGGGTGAGGCCCGGGGAGCAGGGGGTTAGGGCATACCCTGGGGCGCGTCTCCGCAATCTCAGCCACTCACTGATCCCTCTACGAGGGCCAGCCCAACCTCGCCATCCCAGCTGGATTCCTGACTACTGTCTCAGCCTCCCGGTTCAAATCTCTGTTCTTGATTCCAGAGAGCGCACAGACTGATCCATCTAGAGAGGCTCCAGAGAGCAACCCTCACCCTCTACACCGGACAGTGAGAACAGGGCATTGAAGCAAGATGGAAACTGACCAGTTCATCATACCCTGTGTGTGTGTGTGTCACACCCTGCGTGTGTGTGACATACGCTGTGTGAGTGTGTGTGAGTGTGAGCAGAGAGCCCACGGAGGGAAACTGCTCAAACAGTGCACACGAAACATCTCCTTTCACTTCCTTCCTGAGTGCCAAAAGGAAACAATCGGGTAAAAAAAAAAAACTCACCGAGAGACAAGAGGGTCTCGGAGGCCACGTTTCTGATTTCTTCAGTGTCGGACTGACACAGTGTCACGAGCATTTTAATGCTTTCGGTGGCCTGCAGGGAGAAAGTCGTGAGATAGCGCTCTGACACTTCTGTCTGGAGTCCCTCGAGTCGCAATACCCCACAGCTGGTGCGGACGTCAAGGCCATCTCCCCCAGGGGGCCCCACGGCTCGCTGAGTGTCATCCAGGGGGCACGGTACTAGAATTTCCTGGGACGGAGCCCAGGGCGCATGCTTGCAGGGGCCCCGACAATCTGCTAAACCCCTCATTTCCCAGAGGACACCCCAGAGGGCGTCAGGAAGCCGGGAGACCAGCCTGCTTTCCAGAAGAGAAGCCACTCCTGGGAGTTCTTTCTGCTGTACCTCCCTGCTTCCAAGACAGCGCTAACGTACGAATTGTTAATGCTTAGTTTAGACCAAAACGGAGGCGCGGAGTAAAGGTGGGTGGTGGGAATTCGTCTGTGTGTTTACTGCGCATTCGTTTAGCACTTTCCGAACAGGGCAGTTCGCCAGGCACGGGAGACTCAGCCATGAAGACATGGTTCTGGCTCTCAAGAGGTTACAGTCCCGTGGAAAGCCAGACGGTGGGACAGAGAGTTACTACAGGGCATGACATGGCTGGGAAATGGGACCTGGTCTGACCAGGGAAGTCTCCACAGAGGAAGGGCGGTCGTAGAGCAATTAGCCAAGTGGGGCAGTGGGGTGTGTGTGTGTGTTGGGGGGGTGGAGAAGGACATACATTCCATGCGAGGGGCGCCCCTCAAAGACAGCCTTACAAGCCGCAGGAAGGGTTTGGGCCTTCACTCGTGGAATCATGGAAAGCTACAGCGGGGCTTGGGAAGCAGGGCTCGTGTTGTGTTAAGAGCGTTCTCGCCGTGGCCGAGAGCACGCACGGAAGGCGTTGGGACTCCGAGGAGGCAGAGGCCGCTGGTGGGGAGGTGGCTCGGATCCGGTGCGCAGAGCGGGGAGACAGTGGACAGACGCGGGCTGGAAGGACGCGGGCTGTACAGGGTGTGAGGGTGAGCTGCACGACCCACTGAGATGCCGAGGGCTGGGGGTGGGCGAGCTGGGTGCCTCTGCAGTGACTTGCTAGCGGACACAGCCAGCAGCGAGCTGGCTACATGCTGGGGGGGGGGGCGCGGGCTGGGAGTCATCAGTGCACAGACGGGGACGGAACACGGGAGCGAGCGCGTGGAGGCGGCGGGGGGCCTAGCGTGGGGTCTCTCGGCACAGCACCGGCCAGGGCCAGGGCAGCTGGAAGCGCAGGAGCCCACGTGGGGCGACACAAAGAGCTGCTCCTGAGATTCTGACGAGCTGACAGAGGGACCAGAGGGCAACGATCTTTCCCGGGAGAAAGCCAGGCCCAGGTAGCGCTGGTGCGGGGGGACAGCTGACCGCGGTGGGCAGTGTGGGCAGACCACAGCTTATTTTAGCCCAGAGCGACAGAGGAGGGGCCCCACGCGGGGCTCGATCCCAGGGCCCGGGGATCAGGCCTGAGCCGAAGGCAGACGCCTAACCGACTGAGCCACCCAGGCGCCCCGTCACTGCTGTTTTTTTGTACATGAGAAAGACTGGGGAAATCATCATGTCACCTCTCTTTTGGGATAAGGTCTACGTTTCTAACCCTGACCTGCGGGCTACTGAAACGCACGACTGTTTTCTGAAAGTTGTTGGCTCTAACAAAGTCACATTTAGTGAGCAATTTAAGAAACACAACAGGGGATCCTAGGGCAAGGGAGGGAAAAATAAAACAAGACAAAATCAGAGAAGGAGGCAAACCGTAAGAGACTCTTAATGACAGGAAACAAACTGAGGGTTGCTGGAGGGGAGGGGGCCGGAGGGATGGGGCGGCTGGGTGACGGGCATTAGGAGGGAATGTGACGGGATGAGCACTGGGTGTTATATGCACCCGACGAACCACTGACCTCTACCTCTGAAACTAATAATATGTTAACCACATTGAATTTAAATAAAGAATTTAAAAAGAAAAAAAAGAAAAACGAAAATCAACAACAAAGATCCCCAAACAAACACACAGGTTCCACAGCGAAGGAAGTAAGATGCGCTGCTAACACAGCGCTCCCGAGCACAGGGAGAGAGCTGTTGGGCGTCCTTGGCCCCCGACTTGCTCCGAGCTGACCTGTCTGGGTCTCTAAGGCTGGGTTTTACCTGCAGGCTCTTCAGGGCCAGACAAGCTGCCTTCTGGAGCTGGAGGTTTGCCTTTGTCAGCGCTTCACAGTAATAGAGCAAGGCCTGAAAGAGAGGGAGGGACCCCGTTTGTGGTTTTAGAGCTATCACCACAGATACGACATGTCACACTACCTTCAGAGCAAAACAAAAATCCACTAAAATTCATGTTTATTGAAAGAGCTGTCTCTGAATTCAATACGCTAATTGCTTATATTCTACCAGGTCACCGACACTGGGCAATCGAAGTTGGAAGATCCAAAGTGACGACTGCAGCTTTCCAGAGACCCTCAGGGCTAGCGAAAGTGCTCTGAGTGTTTAGAAGGAAGGCACAGAAGAGATGTGTTAGCTCCAGGGAAGGCTGCGCGAGGCTAGGGGAGTCACGTGGAAGACAGTCACCTTCCAAAGTCACAGGGCAGGCTCAGGAAAGCGATGTGTGGACTGGCTGGGAAGGATGGGTTAGATGTCAGCTGGGAAGAGGACATCCCAGCAGGAAGGGAGTGGAGGAGGCGGGCCCAAGGATGCTCTGGATAAGAATCTCAACGTAAAAATTAGTTATTTCATGAGAAAGCTCGTGTCTTTCTCCATGCCTTATATTTCTTAGATTTGTCTCTTCCACGGCCACATGTCTTGTCAAGGTCTTGATTTCATGCCTGGATCACCAGCCACCACATTTCTGCTTCCAGCACCTGATGACGAGGGATCCCTTCTTCAAGAGCACGTGGCGTCCATCAGGAGCCCACCGACTGGCCCCTCTCTCAGAAGAGCAGAGGCCTCCCTTCTTTGTTTGTGCCCAGCATCAACGGGGAATGCCTGCCTCCTTATGGGCATTTCCAGATCCTGCGAAGTTGGCTCAGCACCCCCTCCAGCTGCCCGCTGTTCCTGCCATGCTCACGGATGTGCCCGGGTGCCGTCCTTCGCACAGGGGGGCCCTGTGAGCTCTGCTCCCCTTTGGACAGACCTCGTTCCTGATGATCTTCAGAACTGGTTCAAGAACCAGGCCCTGCTTCACCAACCACCTTGGGACCAGCTCTCTACCATCTTCTCTCTGATTTCCTATGACTTACCTTTTCCTTGGTTCTTACTAAGCTAATTATCATTACTTACATACATCTGTGTTTATAAGCATCAACATTACTTTTTTTTTTTTTAAAGATTTTATTTATTTATCTGATAGAGACAGCGAGAGAGGGAACACAAGCAGGGGGAGTGGGAGAGGGAGAAGCAGGCTTCCCGCCGAGCAAGGAACCTGACGTGGGGCTCGATCCTGTGACCCTGACATCATGGCCTGAGCCGAAATCAAGAGTCAGATGCTTAACCGACTGAGCCACCCAGGGGCCTCTGGCTTTCCTAGCACCTAGAATGAATAATACTCTATACATAGTGAATGGCCCAATTAGATCTGATGACACCATAGTGCCTGGATGAAAGAGCGTGAAAGTGTCATCAACCACCTGATGATGTGTTTGCTCATGACACAGCATATAGCTGTGATTAAACACGGCCTGTTTTCTCAGTTCTATAGAACGACCTACTCTTCTAAAAAATGGAGATACAATTCACATACCACAATATTCGCCCTTTAAAGTGTTTGACTCAGTGGTTTTTTGTGTACTCAGAAACCATCATCACTACCTCATTCCAGAGCATTTCCATCAGTCCCCAAAGAAATCCTGTACCCATTGGCAGTCATTCCCATTGCTCCTCTGTCCGGTTCCTGGCAACCACTGATCTCTGTCTCTCTCCCTGGATTTGCTTACTTTGGACATTTTGTGGGAATGCGATCACGTCATACGTGGCCTTTTATGTCTCGTGCTTTCACTGAGCACGATGGCTTCAAGGTTCATCCGTGTGTCAGCACTTCATTCCTTTTAGGCTGAACGATATCCCATTGTAAGGAGAGATCAGATTTTGTATATTCATCAGCTGATGGACATTTGGATTGTTGCCACTTTTTGGTTGCTAGGAATTAATAATAATACTAAATGTTCCATTTCACTTGGGCTTTTGCATAGTCCTCATCAAGTGGATGAACTTGAGCACACAATGATTCTCTATTTTCCCATTTCCCTCTGGTACCCCTCCCAAGAGCCCCCAGGTTTAGCCACCAAGCCAAAATTTAACCAGTTCCCCAAACCATACATTCCAAGGCTTAAATGGCCGATAACAACTTAAATGGTCCTTGCTCTCAGGCGTGTTTGCATTATAACAATGATTCCAGAGGGATAAGGTGCTGGATGTGGGCCTGGGTCAGTCCACCACTAGTAGTAGGATCTTTGGATGAGACTTCTGGACCATACTGTCCCTTTGAGCAAGAGGACTGAAACTCTGTTGGCTTGAGCGGGAAGTGGGCACTGTTTCCCGACTCGACAAAGCATTCGGCACTTCCCTGTGCCTTGCAGAGACGTACAGTCTCACAAAACAAGTAAGCATCACCTTGCTCACTTGAATTTGAGCAGTTGCCCAAGAAATGGTGGCTGCCACGATACTCAGCTTGGTAAGAGTTCCAGGAAGCCAACAGGAGGTGCCCTGGGAAGCAAGAAGTCCCTGTCACCTTGCAAGATAGTAAGCGTCTCCTCTGGCGGGTCCTAGATGATTACAGGAGCAACAACACCCCAACAGACAGAAGAATAGATATTTCCCACTTATTTGGGTCCAGGGAGGAGGGGTGAGTAAAAAGCATCAAAAATGAACCAACATACGTCTGGTTTGCTTCAACATCTATGGTTTTCTGAAGGTTTGAGATCTACAGAAACACCAGCTCTCACCGAGGTAGTTTTGTATGGCTTTAGCCCTTCACATCTGGTGGTACAGAATTAACGTACTAACGTTTACTGTTTCATACATGAAAAGATGGAAAGAACTCAAGGTTTGGGGAGGGCGGGTCAAACACTTCCAGGTGGTATCTAAGTTGTTCCTCTTAACTAGTGTGCCACCTAAGCCATCTTCAGTTAGTGAAGGCTCATTCGTGAGAAATGAATCCAAGACCTAAGGATGAGAGTTGAACTGGAGACGCAAACATCCCACCACTCCCTAGCTTAGCTAATGCCTTAGAAAAGTTAAGCCCTTCTCAGAGTTCAACATTTGACCTTTCCAAGGATAAGAAGGGACCAGTTTAATTTTCTTGAGCTGATCTGAGGACTGACATGAGTTATCTTTTATTTTTTATCTTTTAAGACTTTATTTATTTGAGAGAGAGAGGGACAGGGGCAGAGGGCGAGGGAAAACCAGGCTCCCCACTGAGCAGGGAGCCTGATGTGGGGCTTAAACCCAGGACCCCGGGATCATGACCTGAGCCAAAGGCAGACACTTAACCAACTGAGCCACCCAGGCGCCCCACGAGTTAGTTTTTAGAACAGCTGTTCAGATTGTCAAGGGCTCCCAGAGGACCAAGGCTGCCGTCTGTACAGGGCCCCTGGGTGCTCGAATCACAGATGCTTGTTACCCCTGGATGGTACTGAATGAAAGCCCTGGACGAGGTACACCGCCTCTTCCCTGGCAATGAGGAGTGATAGCTTTTAAAATTAAAAATATTCTTGTTCTTTGAGCCAACAGTTTGATAACTTGACCCCAAACTACTCATAAAATATGTGTGCATGTATGCTCACCATGATATTTTTCAGAGTGGGGAACTAGACTAATGCCGATCAATATGGAACGAGAAAATAAATTATGGAATATCCATGCCCTGAGATGTACATTAATCCATCAAATGGGATGAAGTAGATCAACATGTTCTAACAAGGAAAATCACCATGATATAGTACATTTAAGAAATCAGTTACACAACACAACAGTGTGATCTCATTTAAGGAAAAAATAATTATATATGTGAGCACATATGTAGAAAAACATGGGAAGGAACATACACCAAATTATTAACAGTTCTCTCTGGGGGTTGGGCTTACGGGTGCTCAAATATTTGCAGTATATTTTTGTAGTTTATGTGGTGTTACAGATTATATGTTATTAATAGGCAGAAGAAAATTATTTTGATAAAAAACAGATGGCAAAATATTCATAGTAAATGATAGAAAATTAAACAAGCTTCTGGCTTGATGTCCACGATTTGGGGCTTTACCTTTTCCCTGAAATGCTCATCTCTGGAGGCTGCGGCCAGGTAAAGCATCACAGCCTGGCTCACTTGGCTGTCATTCCTCATGAGCAGCAGGGCCAGGGTCCGGAGTACTTCCTGCTGGGCCGGGAGGCTGCTGGGTGCGAGGTCACTCATGGCCTGCAGCAGTTTCTCATCTCTCAGCGATTGCAGAGTCTGAATCAAGGAAACTAGCGAGTAAAAAGAAAGCAGAATACCTTCTAGTTCCATCCACATCATTGCAATAAGCTTCATGCCACATTCCTAGGCTGGTGCCCATTCTTTTCATTTCCTGGATTCCCAGCCGGAGATCTGGTTTTCCATCCTCCCTCCTTCCCTTATCAACATGTCACTGCATCTGCCTTCTTGTGAACCCCACTTCTGCTTATTATCATGAAAGCACCACCAAAAAGGGCAACCTAAAATAGTACTGCCTGTAGACTTGATCCCACTAATGGCAAATACAATACACTAATGAAGAAAAGAAATTACATCAGTAAATCATTCAGCAGCTTCTCGTCAACACTACACCCCTTCTGGGTGATTGGGATGCTCTTCATAAATCCCCGCTTCATTGCCAAGAGGCTCGCTAATGTTAAGGGTCCAAAAGTCATTGAAAAGGCAGATCTGATCCCAGCTGTTGACTTGGGGTAAAAGGAAAGGTTCCTATCACTAAAAACTACGACTGAAAAGCCCGGAGCGGACTCCAAAGGGAGCCAGCACACAGTGTGACAAAGAACGTGTCCCACCTTGCTTGGCCAGCTGGTTCACGTGACTCTCGAGGTCGCTCACACCGTGGCTGGTAAAGTAACTGTAATACTGGAAAACAGTGATGACTTCCAAAGGGAGGCTGGAGGGGAGCAGAGGCTCAGCCCGGTCCAGGATTTGGGAGACCAGGGTTCGGAACACTGTTTGGAAGGGAAAGAGGGGAAGCAGCTTTGAGGAGACGTGACCATTCATTCGTGTTTTACTGAGGTACATGGCAGGGCGAAGTCCGGCAGGTGAGCCGATCCTCAGAGTGCGGCTGCATGAGTTTTGCGTCTGTGTGTACACACACCTATGTGACTGCCATTTGGGTCAAGTTACAGAACACGGTCGGCACCCCAAGGGTGAGCTTGTGACCCCCGAGCACCGTAGGTTACTAATGATCTGACTTCTGTCAACACGTATTAGCTTCACTTGTTCTTGAGCATCATGTAAATGGAATTATCTAGAATGTACTTTTTGTATCTGGCTCCTTTTACTCAACAAAATATCTGTGAGATTCATCTAAATTGTTGCTTGTAGCAGTAATTTATTATTCTTTTTTTTTAATTTTTTTTAATTTTTAAAAG